CCCTTTCCGCGCTCACATTCACATTCTGTTGACATTAAAAAAGTAATATTTTTTGACAGCAGTGAAAAAACAATATGCATTTTTGCTTTTACGTAATGTGCAAAAAAAGTATGAAAATGACAGTGCATTTTTTGCACATTACTCGTCAAGTTTGCTGGAGCGTGCATTCTGAACGAGAATTCTGTGAAAAGTACATACTAATTGAAATATCTTTGGAAGAAAAACTAGTTTCTGAGTGGGTTGCACAGGCATTGGGGGCTGTCAGTTCCTTTGATATCTCCTCTATTTTGTTCTCTCATTATTTGCCGCTGGTTCAGCACTGTTTGCGCTCATTAAAGTTTAGATTAGTTCGGAGGGCAGTTATAACGGTGTTTAAAGAACAAGATTCTGAATTATTTTGCTTTCTACATCTGATTGAGGAGAAAAGGGGGGTGGGTTCCTCCTGGCCGCTCCTGGCCCCTTCCCGTTTTCCCTCTCCACTCCTCAGTCCGGTATAATGTATTCCTCTCGGTGGAGTTGTGTGTAGCCAGTTCAAAATGTTTGCCAATGTGATTTGTATTCGTTTTGCTTAAAAATGTTTGTGTTTTGCTTTGAATGATGTTTTTTTTTTATATTTGCATAAAAACGGGCACCTTTGTTCGTTGCATTCCAGAGCACTGTTGAGGCTACAGCGATTCGTTTGTAAATTACCTCGCCTGTGAGTCCCTCAGTTCACGGCACTGCAAACTGAGAAATGCCAGTGCCCGTGTCCCTCATCAAAAACGCATTGATTTAAGAGAATTTGAATTATTTAATGTGGAGGACTGAAATAAGAGCGAAAAATCTAAATAGAAATAATTTCGTTCCATTATGTCGTCCTATTTAGTCATGCGAACTCGGTGGTTCTGATTCGGCTTGAAACTGCTCTGCTCTGGGTGGCTGTTCGGTTCAGAGCTTTGCCTAGGTGGAGCTGCTGTTATTCTTCAGGCGAACCGTAAGTATCATACTTTTTACTGCTAACCTGCAATGCAGCCATTCAGTAAAATGTAGAAATATGACACTTCAGGTGCAGTATTCTAGAGGGAGGGGGTCTTTGACAGCCGGACCAGATGCGGTTGCACCACTCGGGTTCGGTTTTGGATTCTCCACCGCATCGATGATCCATCACCTCACTACTCATATTCTGTGCCCGGATACGTAATCCAGCAACTTGTTCCTATCTTTTCGGAGTGTGCGCTGGAGTGGTCACAAACAGGCTGACTACCAGGCGATGCAGCATTGACCAACGTCATTGAGGTAGCTGGAACCTGCAAAGATGGAGAATCAGCTAGGGATTGCAACTCACCAAGATATCACTGCTATCCATGGAGGAGAGGAGGAGGGTTTCTTGTTCGTGGTGCAGCACGAAATAGCGCATTCCAGGGATGCGGTATCTGCTGGTGCGCGATTTCTGGCACCAACTAATGTGGTCGTGCCGGCGACACACTCACAGGCCGGTGGAGTTGGCGTTCGATAAATATGGCGATAAGCTCGATAGACGGACCTCACCGCTGATCATATTGCATGGAATATTTGGGCACAAGTCGAATTGGCAGTCAATTGCGCGAACGCTTCAGCAGCGGCTCGGAACCATCATTTTCACGGTGGATTTACGCAATCATGGTATGTTCTGCTTTGATGATATGTAAGACGCATACACATTGACGGTGGTTTTCTTTCTCCTAACAGCGCTGTTTTGGCGCTCGGAGACCGAATGAGATAGGAAATTGAAATTTTATGAAGATATTTCACGTCTATGTGGGATCTGAAGTCGAGCATACTTTCGGCTCTACAAACAGGTAGGCAGAAAGTTCGGACTTTTTATATCACGATTCTTGACCATGTTTGTATTCTAAACTATTCGACATTTTCGCATTTAAAACTGAGGAATACTACTTCCTCATAATAGCAAAATAATTGGCCAACGTACGGGCTGCCCGTGCGAAGATGTGTTTTTTGCACAGTTTCCCGCAGTTTTTGTCGCTACCGGCATCGGTTTTTTCAGCAAATGCTTCTAGCTAAAGAAATTTAGACCGGCCGCGAGAACTGGCACGAAACACCCCCTTATAATTTCAGCTTTCTAGCTTTCCTGGCTCCTGAGTTAGCAATTTAGTGGAAAAAAATTTCTCGGGCCCGCACGTGGGTACCACGCATACCCGATGCCTGGGACTGAGCTCACTGAGACTTACTTGGACGAGGGACATCCTCTTAAAAATACAGTCTTCTAGCTTCTCAGATCCCCGAGTTATCAACTTACCCGAAAAAAATTTCAGCGGGCCCGAACGACGGTATCACGCTTACCTCGGAGATGGGTTTCAGTGCATCAATACCTACGTGAATGGGAAACATCACCGTAAGATTTCGGCGTTCTAGCTTCTCAGATCTCCGAGTTATGAACTTACCCCAAAAAAACTTTGGCGGGCCCGCACGCCGGTATCACGCGAGTGATGGCGCCCATTTTGGGGATTGGGGCCGGCACGTGCATGTAGATTAAATTCCCGAAGTTTCAGCCCTGCAGCTTTTATAGGTCTTGAGATGAAAGTGCGTGACAGACGCACACGCAGACACACGGACACACAGACAATCCCTCGTCAATATGCGTTTTTGCATTGCATAGCTGCAAAAAACGCATAAAAAGGACTTAGAGCTGATATGCATTAAATTGGCAGCTTTTTTAGCTGACCGGAAAAACGCTTGAACGAACTAGCAACTGTGATGCTCGCCACTACTGGGTTATACTATTCATCTAACTCGTAGAAGTTTAAGGCGAGTTACTCGTCTCTCTGATGACTGCTTTATCTCGAAATCGTTTCCATGCATCATTCTTGCGTTGTTCAGGTGATTCGCCGTGGTGCGCGTCGATGACGTATCCGGAAATGACCGAGGATGTGCGACATTTCATTAACGAAATAGTGCAGCGTGAGATTGGCGTTCGTTCGTGCATTCATCTACTTGGCCACTCTATGGGCGGCAAAATAGCAATGCGCCTAGCACTGGAGAACAGGGACACAGATCTGATCCGGTCGCTGATTATCGAAGATATTACTCCCCGCTCCTACAGCCTTCTAGCATCATTTCCACGAATGATCGAAGCCATGAAGCATATTGATTTGACGCGTAGCCGTGCTGAAATTGAGCGTGAATTAGCCGCAACAGTCAGCGATCGCACAACAAGACTTTTCCTGATGATGAATCTAGTCACCGATCGCGGTAGAGCTCAGCAGCGCTGGCGGCTCAACTTGGACTCGATTGGGCGTCATTTGCATGAACTCCGTGGTGCTGGTGTACCAAATGACGGTGTTTTCCATGGCAGATGTTTGTTTGTCTCAGGAGCGCTTTCACAGTATGTGCTAGACAGCGATCATCCCGCAATCCTAGAAAGATTCCCGAACGCGGAATTCTCTGTGATCCCGCGTGCATCGCATTGGGTACATGCTGGAAATCCGGACGATTTTGTGGAAGCGATTGTAAAATTTATTCGCTCTGTTGAATCTGCTCCATAAAAGCTGAAATTTCGCTTAATTCTGGATGGGATATGTCGTTTTTTTTTTCAGCTACTCGTGGGATTTGAGGATATGGGCAGACAAACTTGAAATCTATAAATAAGAAAAAAATTGCAATATTGAATAAGGCCAGCGCACGGGCTGCCCATGCGAAGATGCGTTTTTTACATAGCTCCCCGCAGATTTTTGTCGGTAACGGCACTGTTTTTTCGGCTAATGCTTCTAGCTAAAAGAATTTCAGACTGGCCGCCAGAACTGTCAGGGAACATTCCTTCAGTCTTCTAGCTTTTCACGTTTTCCAGTTAGCAACTTACCCGGAAGAAACTTTCACGGGCCCGTACGTAGGTACCACGCTTACCCGCGGGCAGGGTTTGAACTCGTTAATACCCACTTAGACAGGGAACAACACCCTAAGATTTCAGCTTTCTAGCATCACAGATCCCCGAGTTATGGACTTACCCAGGGAAAATTTTGGCGAGCCCGTACGCGGGTACCACGCTTACTCGGGGGTTGGTTTCGAGCTCATTAGTACCAACTTGGACGGGGAACTTTCTCTTAAAATTTCAGCTCTCTAGCTTTTCTGGTTCGCGAGTTAGCAGCTTCCCCGTAAAGAACTTTGGCGGGCTCTTACGTGGGTACCACGCGGGAAAGACCACCCATTTTTGGGGTGATGGCTCGTATGTGCATGTAGATTAAGTCCCCAAAGTTTCAGCCCTGTAGCTTTTGTAGGTCTCGAGATGATAAATCGGTACAGTGGCCCTGCGCACACACAGACAACTTCTGGTCGATATGCGTTTTCCGCATTGCATAGACGCAAAAAACGCGAAAAAAGGCATTGCTGATAGTGCAGACATGCTTTGCCGGCAGTACTAGTCATTTCCAAAGTAGTCTTTTCGAGAATCACACTTCTTTAGACAAGCACATAGAGCTGATAATTGCACTTCTCCTGGCTTTCTCCCCCCTTTTCTCAAGTATTTTGTAGAATTAGACGTCTATTTCTTTTGCTACACGTATTGTGATTTTTATCGTGTTTTTCAGGTTTGTTGTCTACTCTGAACGGGTCACTTTTCTAGCGCCATTTAGATTTTGAGTAATTTTATCTCCGAATTAATTTGATGCTGCATGTAATACATTCATTGTGAGATGTGTCTAGGCATTGCTGATTGTACTTGTGTTGTCTTTACACTTCCTACTTGCTTTTATCTAGTTATTGCTGCCGTTTGTTTCTGGAAAGCAACAGACTGGGCTTTACTTGTCTTTCATCAGGTACCTTTTGTGTGCGTATTAAGCACAAACAGGAACTTAACTGGAAGTGAATTGTACGACAACAGCTTGAAAGTTGTGAATTCAAGGGCGTGAGCTTTTCATACTCTAAGTTTAAACTTTTTTCATTGTTCGTTCTCGATAGTTTGTGATTTAATGTAAACTTTTAACTAGAAATTCGACCACAAGAGCCAGATGTGCATCACTGTTTAGGTATTCCTCTAATTTCAGGAAATGTTTGAAACAAGTAGTTAAGTCGCTCACAGTTTACATGTCCTGTAGATGCTAAAATGCGTTATGTGGTATTTCTGTAGTGCGCCTGGTGCTGTTTTAAAGTGATTTTGCGGATCTCATATCATTGAAGTGTCTCACTGTAGTTACACTGTGAATCTCGTTGTTGTTATTGTAATTGTCAATGTTTAGTGCATATCTAGCACTTTGTGATACGGGTAATAGCATTCTTTCAAATCTCCTTAGCTTATTTGATGTCGGATTTTTCTAGCCCATGTAATGAAGAGTTGATTTAATGGTATATTTTAATAGTTTAAAGATGTGTTTTATTAAAATTTGAAAAAGTGGCGTCAGATTGTAATTAAAACAAAACTGTTTTCTTGTTTCTTCGTTTAATAAAGTCTGCTTAGTTGTATTCCTTTCCGTGAGTTCTGCATTGCCCAAACTGCATTATTTGCTAGTTGCAGTCGACGAATTGCTATCTCTGCGTAACCGAAACAACTTTTTATGCGTTTTTTGCAGCAATGCAATGCGAAAAACGCATATTGACGAGAGGTTGTCTG